ACTCTTGACCGGAGTTCATGAGTTTGAGCCCTAGTGCCACTGGAGACCCGCTCTGTAGAGGGGCTGATGCGCCTTAAATCCGTTGAGGCTGAAAATCCTCCAGTTAGCGTTGTATGAAAGTTCGGAGAGGGAGAGTCAGCTCTCTGGTGCAGCAATTGCCATTTGACCGAAGTTCGAAATTACAGGTCCTTCACCAAGAGCCCTCGTTTTGCTTTATAGCGCAACTTTAGTAAAACACACTAATTCATTCTCTCGCTAAATCTGTTGAGGCTCAAAGACCTCACGATGGTGTGAAGTTTAGAGAGTGGTGTGCCAGTGCGAGTGTCATCCTCGTCACTTAATAATTAATCAAAATTACGAGGACTGTTGCCGGTAGCCCTCATATAACTTCCGAATACGACCTTAACAAACAATCAATCAATGAGGTCAATTCATGTGACGTCATAGTCACATGATAGTGAAAGCCACGTGATTTTAGCCAATCAATTCAAAAAATCAAGTGACGTCATAGTCATACGATATAAACTCTTATGTTTCCAGCTAATCAGTTCACGCGCTTCGATGTTGCCAAGTTTTGCCCTTTACAGAAACTTTCTCTTAAAAAGTACATATGTATACAAAATGCATTTTATTTAAAAGTATAAGCATAAAATACGATTTTTATTTTTTAAATTTTAAAAAATCTTTTTGAAGAAATTTTTTTTCCTAACATTTAAACATCTTTATCCAAATATGGAATTTGAAATTTTATCTGAGTTTTACAAGAGTAGAACACCAAGTACTGTTGGTTTTAATGTTTGTTTTGCATTCAATGGAGAGCACGTGTTTGTCTTCGTCACGTGATGTCATGAATTGAGCGCATTCGTATTGTTCGCACATTCATGGATTTTACACATTAAGTTAAATGTTGTGGACTATGAGCGAATTATACAGTCTACTAGCGCTTTTATATTCCATTATGTATAGCTCAATAGATTGTACAGATGTATTTATAAATTGTTTATTATAAAAGGAAACTACAAAACGCTTTTTTTTCTCTGTCATTGGTAACTTTTATACCTTTCACTAATGTATATTCACAATTGTCTTTTTAAACACCCCCTTACCTACTCATCAGTTACGGAGCCATATGGTCCTAAACGCTGTGTCTATGTCTACCTTAAAAGCCCCTACGAGCAAGTAACACAAATCGGAACCTTTTTACGCCCCAATTTTTATTAAACGGGATAAAAGCCACAAAAGGGGGAGGGACAAAGATTATTGTCTGACAATGAAAAAGAGGGAGACACAAATGGGGTATACTCTGTGAACTTTTCTGACTGCTATATTCCCCTCCAGCTGGATGGACAGAGGGGGGTACTATCGTCTGCTCCCCCTTTCATCTTTTCGAAGCCCCCTCCCTTAATGGCGGACGACAAAGCACATTTCAGAGGATGATTGGGGGTAAGGGAGGGGGCGTTCGATTTTGGATTGAAATCCGAGAGTGCGTTTACGTGTCAGCATTAGCATGTCGGTCCACTACATTAGACTCCCAGGGCGAAGCTTCTGATAGGGAGTTAGTTCATGGGTCGCCGCCGTATTATTCCTCTTGAAGTAAATCCCATGATTGAAATGCTTATTACAATACGTAATACAGAGCTTATTACACAGCACGCATTCACGCTTTCTCTCAAAACTATTTACATATTTTCTATCACACTTCTGACGCTAATTAAGTTAGTAGAAATTTTCAGCATTCAAAAACTAATTAATACTATTCTCTAGAAAAAGAATTCTCTCTGTTTATATGCACCACTAACCATTACTCGTCCGTTGAATGCGATTTTACAAGCGCCGCCTTAATTTTAAGCACCGTGTGGCTGTGCAACAATTTTAATGAAATACACATAAATTTAATCGTGTTGACTATATCACGAGTGAAAATGTAATTTAGGTTTCTGTATTCAATATTGATTCAATATTTTTTCCTGCAGCATCTCTCCCCTTGAGGGAAAATTGAGTTTTACACGCAAAGCTCTCTTTTCAGTGAACGAAAATATAAAATTATGGCAATCCTAAAAGATATGGCGAGAGTGTGATCAGATTGTCTATTTTATCGCTGTTCTTGACAAATTTGGGGAAAAATATGGTATCACCAAGGAATCATCGTGAAGGCTTTAGGATCAATCCTTCTAGAAATAACCATGAAGCTAGATAATGCACCTTTGAAACAAAGGTCGAGTGTAGTTCAGAAGAGAGTCTAGTAAAGATCAGAATTTGTTTGTGCCTTGACTGCGATCAGATAGAGACTTAATCTGTCCGAGTTCTTGCCGGTGGAGCTGCTCTAAAGAATCGGTACTAAAAACTTGTAAAGCTTGTTTATAATCGGGGTGCATTTTGCACTATTATAAATAATGTGTTAAAATATTTCTTTGTATATACACTTAGATTTGTCTTCGGGTTTTCATCTGTTTGACATCCATTAATAAATTTGTTTTGTGACTAATCAAATAATTTTTAGCCCTCAGTTACTTTTTCACCACACTAAGTTGCAACAGTATTTAATCCATTTCCTTTTCCCTGCTTAGTTAAATTTATTAACTGTACAATATTTTATATTAAAATATTTTAAAATATTTAGATTATATTGTAATAAATGTAAATTCTGCAAAATCACTGTTCGCGAAATCTATTAAAAATTCTATTCATTTTATTATATCAGCCTCCAACATTCCTCTCTAATCCAAACCATCTCCCAACAGTGAGTCTAACCCTTATGTCAAACTATTCATAACGCTTAATTTTAACTTATGTTCAGGAGTGAATATAACAGTAATTAAAGTCGGTCACAGTCGGCAATAGTTTCACTGACTCGTCATCGACATTAATCTCAATTTATTACTGAAACACTGCGAAATGTTCTCTATAAGCTCCTCTATATTTATTAAAGCCAGGATTGTTCGATTGTATATTATCCGGTGAGAATTCCATTGTTGACTAATACAGAAGGAAGTATACCACCTAGAGACAACTTCAAAATCATGTCAGAATATGTTTCAACTTTAAGCACAATTATTATTGAGTCAACATTCGTGCTAAAGAGCTTATAACATTTGTAACTCATTATTAAGCTTAACCATGTTTGCGATACACTCTTCTTAATATCGATTTATTTGTATTTCAGCCAATTTATTTGAAAGGCAGATTTTTATAATCCTTACAATTCATACGGAATGGCCCAACCATGGCCCATTGCTCTGATAAATTCACTTATTTAAGAACATTGTATTAAATATTTCGTGGGAAATTCTTTGTCAAGAAATCAAATACATCAATTTTGCTTTTTGCTGTCGGTGTCGTACGGGTACGTATTGATATTCTGTTTCTATTTTGACCGGTTACGGTTAATGATGATAGACAATAGTGGAGTAGCCACAGTTTTATGGGTGGAACTAATTTTTAACTATCTTTCATATCTTGCAATCGAAATACATTCGAAGAAAATATATCGTTTCAAGACGATCGGGAGGTTGACTATTTTACAGTGAAAAACTAGCATGGATCAGTAATTGTTTGATTTGTCACGAAAGTGCTGTGTTTAAAAAAAATACCTATAAACAGGAATTATTCAATGACAATTTTCCTCGAAGATCTCTTTCAAGAGGTAATAAAAAGACTTTCTGGAATAATCTTTGCAACAGCAACAAAGTGTGAGTGGTAATGTCACAGCGGTAACAAAGACATCCTATGAAGTTTGTTGTGATATTGGTAATTATATGAAACCGCTCATTGATGCAGAAATTGTGAAGGAGTGTTTCTTAATAGCTTTCGTTCTAGTGTTAGTGTCAATATATATATGTATGTATGTATATATATATATATATATATATATATATATATAATAATTAAAAAAAAAAAGCAAAACAGGAGTTATAATATTATTATCATTTTGAAACAAGGATGGATCAGTAATTGTTTGATTTGTCACGAAAGTGCTATACTTAAAAAATTCCAATAAACAGCAATCATTCGATGACATTTTTCCTCGAAGATCTCTTTCAAGAGGCGATAAATAGTCTTTCTTGAATAATCTTTGCTACTACAACAAAGTGTTTTGTCTGTGGTAATATCACAGCGGTAACAAAAACAAACCTATGAAATTTGTTACATTATTGGTAAGCATATAAAACCGTTTATTGATGAAGAAGTTATGAAGGAATGTTTCTCAAATGCTTCTAATATAATGTTAGTGACAAAAATAAAAAATAATAATTAAAAAAGCAAAACAGGGAGTGTTATAATACTTTAATTAAAATTTTCGACATTTTAAATTTCTAATGTTATCTTGGTCGGCATTCTCTCCCCCATTTATCCTCATGTCGCGGCCCGTGGGAAGTAGCTGACATATGTATGCGGTCCAGTAGAAAAAAAAGGTTAAGTACCCCTGATTTAGATCAATTATTCTCAACCACTATACCTCAGCATTTTTGTTTTCCGCCAATTTTTTTTTTTTTTTTTTTTTTTTTTTTGCAATTATTAATTATACTCCGAGAAAAAATAAAATACGGAACCGAATCTTTCGGTCGTTTTAAAGAAATAAATTAAGGGTATTCGGGGTACATTTAACATTCCTTCGTGAATAGATGGAAGTGTGTGTATTACAGATAGTTAAAAATTCTTTTAAACTCCTTTTATTGTTAGTGCGTCGCCAAACTTTGAAATTGTGACAAGTTCACCGCTATGAAAAAAAAAATTGAGAGCCACTGATTTAAATAATATAACAAGTAATATTTAGAAAAATTATATTTTTGTTACTTTTTATTAAATAGTTACAATTAATATAAATATTTATATACATAGGACAGAATAATGCTATTAGGGGACAAAATACATAGCGATTTCCCTTTCTATATAGGACGTTGGACTATTTTTTTTTACTATTTATTCATGAATTCTATTTAATTATTCTGATAAAGTAGTATAGTAAAGAGAGGAGTCACACATTCTCAGAAATTAGGCTATGCCAGGTGGGATTCGAACCCACGACCTTTGGATTAGAAGCCCAAAGCGCTATGTACTGCGCTACACAGAATCACAACAAATGATTTTCCTTTTTATATAAGGTGTTGGACTATATTGTTTTTGTTTGTTACTATTTATTCATTTCTTAATTTAATTAATGAACTAATATTTGAAAAAACCGTATTAACATCAAGTGTCATCCACTACAATTTTTAAAAAATGTATTTGAACTTGAATGGATGAACAGAAATTATATTTTATTAACGATAGAAAATTTGAACAAGATATATATATATATATATATATATATATATATATATATATATATATATATATATATATATATAGGGTGAGAGTGAACCACACAATGTAGGAATTGAAAAATACTCAAATCTTATTTGAGTATTTTTCAATTTCATTGAGATTGTATTTTTCATTGAGAATTTCTGAGTTATATTATTTTTGTTGTGGGGGGGGGGAACCAAGATTGCTTTCCCTTTTGCCAAAAAATAGATTAACACCCTTACCCATAGCAGTTTTTGAGTAGAAAAATAGTTTACAAATAATATTTTTATTTAATTCTTGTAAATATATGAGATAACAACTTAACGCTTACATAAAATTCTAATCTTGTAGCGAGCGTTAGTTGGGTGTCGTTTATGCGAGCGTTCTTAAAGAGCGCGCGATCTTCCTTTTTTTGAGACGAACGACATGACGGCGATAACAGATGATACGATCGATATAAAATTTTGATTTATTTTCATGCTTTATATAGATTTTTGAACGTCTTTTGCTTAACGATTTAATAGTAAAAAAATAATTTAATCAACAATGATTTAGCTTTTTTGGAATTACAGTTCAGTTTATACCATGGACACAATTTTTTGTAGTTGAGTTGGATGCACCAGCGGTCCCCGAGACTGCAAAAAAAGATTCCGCGTTGTGTCGTGGGGTGTTCACAATGTTCTAATCTTATATAATTTTATCTAAATCACAAAACTAAGAGTACCCTACTTCGAAACTTAAGACTCATTTCATTTCCCATTAAAATCTATATTCTGACAGGTTTTTCGTTATTCCTTATTAAAAGGATTGTACCTTGAATTTTTTGACAGAATTATTAACGATACCTGGAACAAGAATTTTTTTTATCGCTTACACGTACCTTATTGAGCGATTGAATCTTTTCCCTAAAATATTTATGTAATTTCTAAAAATATATCTAATACTTCCCTTCACTTGAGCTCACAACTATAACATTTCTATTTTATTTTCCCTGTTTCATTTTACTTTGAATGTAGAAAGAGATCATTCTGACTCTTACGAATACATAGTAACAAACAAAAATAATAGTCCAACACCATGTATAGAAAGGAAAACCTCTTTCCATTTTGCCACTTAATAATGTGATTCAGTTATACGTATATACATATTTATATTAATTGTAATTGTTTAATAAAAAGTAACAAAAATAGAAAAATCTCTTTCTTGTGTGTGTGTGACCTAAGTATGAATTAATTTTAAACTATTTTTTATATTACTTGTTATTCTGAATTAAGAAAGAGTAATCTACTTTTGAGAAAAAAATGGACATTTTTAACACATTTGAAATTTTTTGAGAGAAGCTTTATTAGATTCGAACTAATTTATTGCTGTTTTTGAATATGATTAATAGCCACGTCTCTACTTTTTCAAAATTTTCTTCTCTTCTATTTTCTACTGTGCTTTAATTAATACTCTTTGTTCCCACATTCTTTATTTTTCTTTAATAAATGAAATATTTGCTTCAGAGCATCACGAACAAACTGTTAATATTTCGTTGTAACTCCATTATTAGAATAAGGTAATTTTTGGCCTTAAAATTATTCATATTCTAAAATATATTCCCCCGAGATACACACATTTTAAAAATAATTATCCCGCTATGCAAGGCTCTAAACCTTTAAAGGGTGAAGAGGAAGGGAAATGATGTATCATTCTTAATATTAATAATAAACACACACACACACACATTCTTTTATATATGTGTTACATTATTATTAAAAAATAACTATATTATATATATATTACTATTAATAAGAAACTTTTTGAGTATCTAAATTGATGCAATGTAAAATGGTGCGTTCTGCATTATTACTGATTAAATTTTTGTTGATTGTTCATTTGGTTCTCAAAGTTTCCCCAACGATTACTGAAAAGTTTGATATGGGTCTGTTTTCGATGTTTTACAATGTACTTTGAAGATAAATTTTTTTGTTATTACTAATTGGATTTCGCTTAGAGCTAGAAACTTTTTCTTAAAGTTCCAATGGCTGGTACATTACATATAAAAAAAGAACACAATAAAGTGCCGAAAACAAGGTACATAAGTGAAAGAATAAGTCGTTGATCCATGCGCTGTTTCACAAACCAATATATCACTCAGTCTCAGATTTTCCCCGAATTGCAATGCACAGTCTAAAATGGCTTTTATCCATAATATCTTTACTGCAAAGTGTGCAGGTTGGGTTTGGCAGGATACCAAGCCAAAACAAGTACACCGCTAAGCAGTCATATCCAGTAGTTTGGAGCAATGTCGCTACAGCTACAGGACGTGGACAATCAAGAATATTATCTTGCATAGTCTTCAACCAGCTCTTCTTGGAATTTCTACACACAACTCTTGATGGCAGTTAAAGGCTTAAATATGTTTAATGATACGTTTGGTAGTTGAATAAGAAATTTCTCTTTGAATCTTATGTGTGATCAAAGCTTCCTTCTTAGCTAATATATCAGCTTGTTTATTGTCATCCACGCCACAATGAGCTGGAATCCACTGGAGGATAATGTAGATTACTTTCTTCCTAAGTTTTTGCAGATAAGTTCAACATTGTAATTAATACATGTAAAGATGTATCAGTGGCATCAGAAGCAATATCTTGAAAGGCCGCCTTGGAATTTGACAATATCAGAAACTCAACTAAATTCAAAATTTTAATTAGGAGGAGTTGTAATTCTCACAAAACATCCCTGTGCCAACATTTCGTAAATCAGTTGAAGTCGGTCAGAACGTGGGTATCTTTGTTCTAGAGTTTTCAGTGTGTCATACAGCGCAAAATTTCAGGAGATATTTCTTTGTTTTTGTACTCTAGGCATTAAAGTTTCAAACAAATATTTATTGCTTTTTAATCACAAGGATTGGACGACCGCTTTAGATCATGAGTCTCTCCGTCAAGATTGATGGTAGGGAGCTGTTCCAATACTCTCAGGATAGAGCCAAGTTGGGTCTTTAAATTCCTAGGTCTGCATTGTACTAGAAACAGAAGGGGAGAGAGAGAAAAGTTAGTTAACCGTTGAAACCAGGTTTAACCCATCAACAAGTAGTCTAAACCAAACTCTGCTTTTTATGTTTAGTATGTGTTGGCAATCATACTGAATTTTTATTACTCTCTCGTGCTTTGGTGAATTATAGTTTTTTCTTCTCTATTACTGCAAGAAATTTTTGTTGTTTATTTATGTGTATATTTTGATTATTGTGAGTAAACTATATAAATAATATAAGCCTATACTCTCTGGTTTTAACTTTTACTTTTGCTTTGCTTCTTTAGATTTATAGCAATTTAATATATATTATTATTGATTATATATATATGATATAAAGGAGTATTCCATTTTAAAAATCTGGATATATAGATTAAGTCATAGTTTATTTAGGATAACAGAGAATTTAGAATTCTTTCTTTGCTCAAGCGTCAAACAATCAACAGAAAGTTTTATCCCTTTTGTACTTTTAAATCGGGATAAATATACTAAAGGAAAGTATAATTAATCGTTCAAGTGAAGGGAAATATTAGTTATTTTTTTAAAAATTACCTTTTTCTTGGGAAAAGTTTCAACCGAGCAGTAAGGCACGCGTGTAAGCTATTATAATATTCTTTTATTAGGAATCACGAATAAGTATGTCAAAAAGTTCAAGGTCAAATTCGTTTAGCGAAGAAAATGCGAATAAATCTGTCAACATACAGGTTTTAATCTTTTAATGTCGAAATGAAATGAAATGAAACAAAACTTTCCTTTTTTTTGTTTTGTCTATGTTGGCGTGAGTGCGCACTCGCTTCTAATTTATTGCTTTGATCAGTGTAATCATTATTTTTTTTATTTCAGAATAAAACTAGATTTCAAAAGGAGAGGCTATTGCAATGTCTCTCTTTGTTTGAATAGTTGCATATTGATTTTTTTTTAGAGACTTGCATTTCGAAATAGAGAATATCGTAATTATGTTTTAGATAAAAATATACAAGATTAGAGTTTTAAGTAAAGATTAAATTAAGTTATATATTGCACACTCACAAATATATAGTATGCATGTGTGTGCATCTTTAAATATTTGTGTGCGTTAAACTTGTATCAATACACGTACGTTCCATCGAACTTTTTCGAACAATTCCTCGATAATTTCTGGTGGCTGTTCTTTTATATCCGCAATATTTAATTCCTCTTTTAAGACATGTTCATTCACATGTTAAGACTAAAATAACATATTGTGGAAAATTTGGAAGAATTAAAACTGTATTAACGAATTGTCATGGTTTTAAATTCTAAATACTTTCTTATTGTATTATACATTAATTACGCATCAAAATTGAAGTTATTCATTTTTATTACGGTAGAATGTAATGATTTTTTAATTAAAAAATCTTATCGGTAAATCAATAATGTCGTAAAATGAAGAAAGTTGTTACAGATGAAGCAAATGCATGTAGAAGATTGTTTTAAATTTGGGAATGACTTGACAAGATTGATTAACATCAAATTAAACTAACCATTTTGCGTGTTTTAATCCCGCCATGTTTTCTTACAATATAAATCCAAGTTTAATTAAACCGTCAATCATTTATAGTTATAGCGACTTTTCCATTTTTATGTCTTTAGATTTTACAGTGTAAATACCACAGAACCTTATTAACTTTTGTCTAATAACTTGTTTTGTTATTAGACAGACAGCCATAAAAAACAATTTTAAAAAACCCATTTAAATTGAACACAAAATTGGAACTACCCCTTAAGGGATATATTAGAATAACTAA